TCTTTATAGGAGGGAGCTCATTTATTCCTCATAAGATCATGCAAGTGGGAAAACTGAAGCTCAGGGAGGATAAGTAACTTGCTCAAGATCAGCCAGCCATGGGTGGTCAAACCAGGACCAAGTCTATGGAGCTCGAAGCCTGCATTGGTAGCCACTGAGATACTCCACTTTGAAACCTGATAAAGTCTTAAAGTATCAGAGCCCGAACAAAATGTGGAGCTCATCTTATCCAGACCCTTCATTTTATAGAGAGGGAAAGTTTTGAGGTACTGAGATCTGTGCCATAAAACGCTGTTTTCTAAGCCTCTAAGTTCACCAGATTAAAACAAAACCAAATCCTAAATTAACAAAGTTATTTTCGGAGAGACATGTCACCTGGTTTTTCATTTTTTTGTAAAAACAGAGATCATACATCTTTAGTCATCCAACCAGAGGACAACACATGATGATTTAGCTAGGCCAGCAACAAAACCTCAACTCTTCTATGTATTTGGAATTGATAAGAGCCACAACATTTTGATATTATGTGTATCTTTATATTTATAATTTATCTTTGTAAATTCCTTTACAAGAAGGAATTTTATTTTAAAGAATCTTCACTACTTAAGGTTCTGTACAGAACATTATTTTTTAAAGACTTTTTTTTCCTTCTTTTTAAGTAATCCTGATACCCAACATGGGGCTTGAACTCACAACCCTGAGATCAAGAGTCATAAGCTCTATGGACTGAGCCAGCCAGGCACCCCAGAGCATTAGTTTTTAAAAGATATTTGTTGATATATATTCACATATCATACAGTTGATCCATTTAAAGTATACACTTAATGGTTTTAGTATGTTTATGGATATGTACAACCATTCCTACAGTCAATTTTAGAACATGCTCATCAATGCAATGAGAAATCCTGTACTTGTAAATTGCATTCCCTTATCCACCATCCTCCCAGCCCTAAGCAACCACTAATCTACTTACTATCTTTGTAGATTTACCTACTCTGGGTATTTTATATAAATGGAAACTTATAACATATATGCTTTTGTGACTGGTTTCTTTCACTTTACATAATGTTTTCAAGGTTCATCCATGTTATAGCACGTATCAGTATTTCATTCCTTTTAATGGCCAAATACTAATGGAATACTAATGGAATTCCATAATATGGATAAATCACATTTTATTGATCCAATTATCCATTGATAAACTGGGTTGTTTTCACTGTTTAGCCGTTGTGATTGGTGCTGCTATAAATGCTATGTATAAGTTTGTGTTTGAACACTCCTTTCAATTCTTTTGAAGGTATACCTAGAAGTAGAATTGCTGAGTCATATGATAGCTCTGTTTCACTAAGGAACTGCCAAACTATTTTCCATAGCAGCTGCACCATTTTACATTTCTACCAGCAACTTATGTGAGTTCTAATCTCTTTACATCCTTACCAATAATATTTGTTATTTTCTGGGGATTTCCCTCCCTAAAACTATTATAACTATCCTAGTGGGTATTAAGTGGTATCTCATTGTGGTTTCAATTTGGATTTCCCTAAGGACTAATGATGTTGAACATCTTTTCATTTGTTTATTGACCATTTGTATATCTTCTTCAGAAAGATACATATTCAAGTCTTTTGCCCATCTTTTAATTGTGTTTTCTTTGTGTTATTGAGTTGTAAGAGTTGATATATATATATATATCCAGAATATATATGTGTATATATATATATATATATATGTGTGTGTGTGTGTGTCTGTGTGTGTGTGTGTGTGTGTGTATATATATATATATATATATATATATATATATTCAACATATATATTCTGGATACTCCATTCTTACCAGATAAATGGTTTATAAATATTTTTTCCCATTCTGTAGACTGTCTTTTCACTTTCTTTTTAAGAAAATTATTATTTATTTTGTTTTCTCCCAAGATTTTATTTCAATTCAAGTTAGTTAACATATAGCATAGTATTGATTTTAGGAGTAGAATTTAGTGATTCATCACTTAGATATAACACCCAGTGCTCACATCAAGGGCCCTCCTTAATGCTTATCATCCATTTAGCGCATTCCCTCACTCTCCTCCCATCTGGCAACCCTCAGTTTGTTCTCTATAGTTAAGAGTTTCTTATGGTTTGCTGCTCTCTCTGTTTTAACTTATTTTATTTTTCCTTCCCTCCCCTTATGTTCATGTTTTGTTTCCTAAATTCCACACATCAGTGAAATCATATGGTATTTGTCTTTCCCTGACTGACTTATTTTGCTTAGCATAATACACTTTTGCTCCATCTATATCATTGCTAATGGCAGATTTCACTCTTTTTGATGGCTGAGTAATAGTCCATTGTATATATACATACCATATCTTCTTTATCCATTTATTGGTTGATGGACATTTGAGCTTTTTCCATAATTTGGCTATTGTTAATAATGCTACTATAAACTTTGGGGTGCATATGCCCCTTCAAATCAGTATTTTTGTATCCTTTGGATAAATATTTATAGTGCACTTGCTGGATCATAGGGTACTTTGACTTTTAATTTTTGAGGAACCTCCATACTGTTTTCTAGAATAGCTGCACCAGTTTGCATTCCCACCAATAGTATAAGAGAGTTCCCCCTCCTCTGCACGCTCGCCAACATCTGTAGTTTTCTGTGTTGTTATTTTTAGCCATTCTGATAGGTGAGGTGGTATCTTATTGTGGTTTTGATTTCTATTTCCCTGATGAGAGATGTTGAGCATTTTTTCATGTGTCAGTCATTAGTATGTCTTCTTTGGGGAAATGTCTGTTCACGTTTTCTGTCCATTTCTTTTTTTTTCTGCCCATTTCTTAACTGGATTATTTATTTTTGGGTGTTGAGTTTGATAAGTTCTTTATGGATTTTGAATATTAACCCTTTACCAGATATGTCATTTGCAAATATCTTCTCTCATTCCGTAGGTTGCCTTTAAGTTTTGTTGATTGTTTCCTTTGCTATGCAGAAGCTTTTTATCTCAGGAAGTCCCAATAGTTCATTTTTGCTTTTGTTTCCCTTGCCTCCAGAAACATGTCCTTTGAGGCCTAAGAGGTTTTAATTTTGACTAAGCCTGATTTACTTTGTTGTTCTTGTTTATGCTTTTGGTATCATATTTAAAACGTCATTGCCTAATAAAAGTTTATAAAGATGTATGCTTGTGTTTCTTCCAAGTTTTACAGGTCGAGTTTTTACATTTAAGTCTTCGAGTTTTTGTAGTTAGCTTTTACATATGGTGTGAAATAGGGAGCTAACTTCCTCCTTTTGCATGCGGTTGTCTAATAGTTTCAGCACCATTTGTTAAAAAGCTATTCTCTCCCCCCGTTAAATCATCTTCACATCCTTGTCAAAAATCAGACACATGGTTAATTTCTGGATTCTCCAGTCTATTCCATTCATCTCCATGTCTACCCAATGCCAGTACCTCACAGTCTTGATTACTGTTGTTTTGTGAGAAGTTCTAAAATTGAGAAGTACTCCTACTTTGTTCTTCTTTCTCAAGATTGTTTTGGCTATTCTGGGTCCCATGCAATTCTATGTGAATTTTAAAATCAGTTTGATAAAGAAGTTAACTGGGACAGGGCACTATTTTTGCTTATATAAATTTGGAAAGAGAATTAGCATTCTGAGAGAACAGAATACTACAGAATCCACTTGACTTTCCACTTTAATACTTCACTCTGTGTAATTGAGTCTTTTTTAAAAAATTAAATTCAAGTAATTAACATATAGAGTATTATTAGTTTCAGAGGCAGAGTTCAGTGATTCATCAGTCTTATATAATACCCAGTGCTCGTTACATCACATAGGTAATTGAGTCTTAGAAATAGAAATTCATACTGGAATCCAAAATTAAGCTGACTGTATTGTACTCTTGAATTTGAGCAAACACTGGGGACATGAATTTTCTACATTTACATTTGTGTAATAATTTAAAAATAACAAAATGTGTTCACAATCTTTCCCTATCTTTTCATCATAATCATCCTGGGATTTAGTGAAGCAGGAATCTCTCATCCACGTCTAGTCTTCAATAAAGTGATTTAGGCACAGAAAGGATAAGAAATGACTTGCTTAAGGAGATAAACCAATAAGTAGGGTAACCAAGCATCCTGGTTTACCTGAGACTGAGGGGTTTTCCAGGATGTAGGATTTGTGATGCTAAAACTGGGAAAGTCCCTAAAAAGCTAGTCTGAGTTGGTCACATTACCAGTAACTAGTAGAATTAGGATAACAACCCAGGCCTTTTTTTTTTTAATTTTTATTTATGATAGTCAGAGAGAGAGAGAGAGAGAGAGAGAGAGAGAGAGAGAGAGGCAGAGACACAGGCAGAGGGAGAAGCAGGCTCCATGCACCGGGAGCCCGATATGGGATTCGATCCCGGGTCTCCAGGATCACGCCCTGTCGGGTCTCCAGGATCACGCCCTGGGCCAAAGGCAGGGGCCAAACCTCTGCACCACCCAGGGATCCCCCAACCCAGGCCTTTAACACTTACTTTAACACTTCTCTTCCCAGCTGAACTCATCAAGCACGCTTGAACTTCTCTACCTTGGGAATTCTGCTTTAAAGCCCTCTCTTCACTCAGCTTTTCTTGACTAATCTGAAGCTCCAGCTGCCCTAACCTTTCCAGCAAGCCCTTGTCTTTGGTATGCCAGCCTCAACTTGTTCTGTTTTTTACTTTATGTGGGTCTAAGAGTTTTTCCTTCCATTGGTCGTTCCTCTCTTTCTCAGACTGTGAGTTGTAGAAGAAGACATGGTGCTTCTCCCTCCTTCTCATGAGTGGGGGCTTCATAAATCCTGTTGCCTGACCGACCGGAAGCAAGTAGACATTCCAAACACCTGAACTTCAGGGTCAGGTATGTTGCCAAGGATCACCATTTTTTAGAGTTCAGTGATTATGTAAGATAAACAAGAGTCACTTGGTGCCAGAAACACAATTTGCATATTTATTGCATTTTGATGTGGATCATAACAAGAAACACATAACCTAGTACAAATCGATGACCCGTCTCAGAGAGCCCACTTGGGCATCCATGGCTCCCCAGTCGTGATAGCGCCTGTAGTCCCCCGGCCTCAGCAGGTACTGCCGCCCCCGGTAGTTGGGCATCTCGTAGAGGACCCAGTAGCCCTCCAGCACATGCAGGGAGTGGAGCTCATTGAGCCGGAAGCGATCGTGGATGCAGGAGCAGTCCTCAGTGAGCTCAGAAACAAGGCCCCCGTAGTCATCTCTCTCGTACAGCCTTATCCTGTGAGAGCTGGTCTGCTGGGACAATAAACAAAAGAAAAATCAATCATGTGCATCTCTGATCTCAGTAAAAGTGAGTCAGCCTGCATCTTCATGCAGCATAGTTTTCAAACCATCCTGCCGGATACATGTCCTCTCCTCACATTGTTGGTCTGACAAATTAGGAAGAATATCAAAACTGACTTGATCTTGAAACAAACATTGAAATAAAGGGAACAAAAGGGATTTCTTCGTAGGAAACCATTGGTTACAACCATATTTAGTGAGTCTGTAAGAGAGGATTTTAACTCTTTTCCATTATGGCTGCATATAACTGAGTCCTAACAAGCTTGTTTCTAACTCACTCTTCACACGTAATTTACAATTCGTATTTACTCTGAGTCCACATCTGACATTTTGCCAAGTAACTGGAACCATTTGAGATTCTTGCCTCAAAGAAATTCCTATTTTATTCGTGTGTCTTTTTGCATCTGCAAATTTCTCTAGCCTACTTTTGGTTTCACTTCTTGAATCTGCTTGTCACACCACGTAATTTGGTGTCACCAGCAAGCAGAAACACAAACTCGACGTGTTTAAAAAACATTAAGCAGCACTTTGATGAGGACCACATCCCACGAAATCCTAATTAATGATCTGTCTCTGACCCTCATAAGAGACTAGTTGATAATGACTCCCGGGAAACAGGGAGCCCCTTAGGAGCTGAGACATATTGTTCTAGTTTCTAGATCCTTCTGTCATAGAGACTGTATGGAAAACAATCACTAATACAGTCAGAGCACATCATGCCTATGTTCTCCCGTAGTCTCTTTGGTCTTCCTATCATTAAAAAATAATGACCTGGATGGGCTTTTTTTTTTTTTTTTTCCTTTTCTGAACATGGTGATTTTTATTTAGAGAGCGGGGATCAGCTAGGTGCTACCAAATTTAACTTTAGAGGCTGTGTTGTAATTTCTTATGCCTAAGAACAATCTTGTCCTAAGTAGGAAAAAAAAAAAAAAAGGTCACAGTGAGTCATAAGCCTGTTCACAATTTTTTTTTTTTTTAGATGCTCCAGAGTCAGGCAGTGCTATCCTTACTGTGAACACTCATCCCGAGTGGAAACAAAGGGACTCTTAGGAACAGGAATTTATGGCCACGGATCAGTGATGCTTTCACATCGGGCTGGTGGAAGCAAGACTCACGTAGGGGATGGCCTGGCAGGAGCGGATGGAGTCGCTGAGGCCCAGCCACTGCTGGTAGTCGGGGTAGTCCCCGCGCCGCAGGAAGTACTGGTGGCCCTGGTAGTTGGGGCGCTCGTAGAGCATCCAGCAGCCGCTGTCCACCCGGATGGAGTTGCAGCGGCTGAGGTAGGGCTGCAGGTTGGGGCAGTCGCTGCTGCACTCGTAGTGCCGGCCCTGGAAGCCGTGGTCCTCGTAGAAGGTGATCTACGGTGGGAAACAAGGGGGGGTGGCCAGAAGTCAGCAGGGGAGCACCCCCAAACACAGTAGACACTCCGCTGACGTGGCCTGGCACCTCGGGGGGCTCACCTTCCCCATGGTTGTTGGCCTCGGATGATCAGCGTCCAGTGTGATGGGGACAAGTGTGGCAGCCGGTATATGTAGCAGGAGGGCTGCTGCGTTGGCAAGAACAACACAAAAGGGGCCTGGGGGTAGTGCGTGAGGGGATTTCTATGTTCTCTCTCTTTTTTTCATTTGGGATCATGGGGCAGGGGGCTCTCATTCTCTCTGGCATTTTCGAGTTCTCCTCACTAGCTCCAGTGAAAGGAATTGAGGTCAGCAGAGCCATTATGACCTTGGAGACAAAGGGCGCACTTCTCATCCTATGCAGCTCTCTAGAAAGACATTACATGCCCAGCATTTTGTGTGTTTGCCTATGGAAACTGCTGAGATGGGGTTGGTGGTTCCATCTGGGGTGACTCGTGACAATCCTATGAGTTCCAGAAGGACTTGAAGGGGTAAAGGTGACCAGAAAAATCCTCTGATTGAAAGGCAATTACATTTTCTAAATTACTTCCTTGATATGATGTGGTTTTGATAAAAGTATTTTGCATATGTTTATGTAGGGGGAAAATATTAGAATGGTGTATGTATATACCAACACATCAGTGATGGTTATCAATAAATGGTAAGATTATAGATTCTGGTTTTATGTTTTTATTTCTCCTTTTTGCTGTTTTTGATTGCCTTAATTTTTACCATAAATATATGTGATGCTCATGAAATGAAAAATAAACTCCATTTGTAAACGTGTAACTCTGAGTTGCTGGGGGAAAGCAGCAAATTTTGAAAATAAGTATAATTTGTTCTGAGATTAAATGCTTCTCCTTGGACTAAAAATAAAGAGATTTCCCAAGACTCTGTGAGACGCTCTGAGAGCAGGAAAACATACAGGATCCTTCCATTCCTCTCTCTCCCACCAACCATTTTCTAGGGTTGCTTTTCTTCTCAAAACTAGCAGCATACTCTGCCTGAGTTTTCCCTTTCTGGAGCATCACTGTTTCAAGTAACTTCCTAAGTAGCTTTCTCCATTGCTGCCACCCTATTGATTTAGAAGCACTCCTCAGCTATGCAGGGGTGCGGGAGGCCTTCAGTCCCCAGCATCTTGGTCATCTGTGGGTGTGCAGAAAGACGGAGTCAAACACCTTCGTGGTTTGTGACCCACGGAGGGCTCTGAAAAGGTATCCAACCGCAGCTGGCGCTGAGTGTCCACAATATGATTTGTGAAGGTCCTTGGGCAGCAAGTGAAGCAGACGTGCAGATGTCAAGAGGACAGATAGCAGTGGCCACAAAGAAAAAAATGTTCCCTCCCAACTGGCAGAGCTAGATAAAAGGAAATCAGGCAAAGCTATAGGACACTAGATGGAGTACCCAGGGATCACAAGTCACTGAGGCATCCTCTGCCTCTTCCTAGTGCTGCAGGCCTACTGGTAAACCTCAGTTACAACCATAAATGAACCCATGTGGAAAAGGCAGCATCGGTCTCCCCAACCACAGCACCACATCGGAATGCCATTTCCAGGAAAAGCCAACAAACCAAACACTTGTTTTTGCACATGTTCAAGACAACTGTTCTGCAGAAAGGTGGCACATCAAACCCTTAAGAGTCACATTCATTGGGTCAAATTGTTACCACGTGTATTTATAAGCCAAACCACATGCCTACTCAGCATTTTGGAAAGTGTGGAAAGACTAGAACATTTTCTTTTTCCTAGTAGTTATGATATTTACTGAAAGAAAACCCACACTCATTTTTCCTTTAATGCTTTATTGAAATGATTTTAAATGTTTTCACGTGAGAACCGTATAAGGCCAATGAATGACAGGTTCATTTTATTTCAGATCAAAACTTGGGGAAACTGCCTCCTACTCCTCCACTCTGCAATATTCAGTGCTAAACATTTGTGAAATGTGCTGCAAAGCCAGTCTGCTCTAACATAGTAATACTACATATTCTCAAAATTCTCCAACCTGCGGTATTCCAGTTACAAGGAAGTAGCATAAGATATACACTTTTTAAAAAAACCTCAATATAGCCATACAATAAGATTCTAAGAGGAGAAAGCCCAACATCCACAGTAACACTTCAATAAAATTTGCACCAAAAGCTAACTATAAAGAAAAACGTGCTGGCAAGAATTGCAGTGTTAGGATGATGTTTCTTTTCTTCTCCCAGAGACTTTATTATGAACATCCAGGTGCAATTCCAAGTCTCTAAGTGACCTGCAAGATTAAAAAAAAAAAGATTTTGGTGCACAGACATTAGCTTCAATCTACAGGAAGTTAAGGTCAAATATCAAATACTAAGTTACTGACAAAGATGGATTAAAATACATGTAGGGGGGCAGCCCCGGTGGCTCTGCGGTTTAGTGCCGCCTTTAGCACAGGGCCTGATCCTAGGATCAGGATCGAGTCCCATGTCAGGCTCCCTGCATGGGGCCTGCTTCTCCCTCTGCCTGGGTCTCTGCACCTCTCTCTCTGTCTCTCATGAATAAATAAATAAAACCTTTAAAAAATAAAATAAAATACATGTAGGTACAAAGGAACTTCCATGGAATTGTTCTGAGAGGTTTGGAAATAGTTATATTTCTCAACTAAATACAATATATGATCCCGCACTGAATCCTGTACAGAAAGAAAAAAAATGTTTAGAAAAGGACATTATTGGGTCAATTGACAAAATTGGTATATAGATGGTACATCAGGTAAAAGTATCAATATTAGCTTTTATGAAGTTGATCATTATACTCAGGTTATTGGAGGAATGACTTTATTCTCAGGAAACACACTGAAGTATATAGGGGTATAGCAATATGGTGGTTATCACTCAGATGGGTCAGAAAAAAAATTTGTATCTATTTACAGGGAGAAAGAGAGAACAAAAAGAGAGATGAAAGCAGGAAGAATAGTGATGCTAATAGAGCACAATGCTAGCATTTGGTGAGTCTGAGTAAAAGGTATATGAGGGCTCTTTGTGCTATTCTTACAATGTTCTCCTAAGCTCAAAATTATTTCAAAATAGAAACATAAATAATAAAAGCTACACTTCTTTTAACTAACCTTACCCAAAGCAAATAATTTCTTTTTGTGCCTGAGCAGTTGTGTATTGGGCTTATATAGTATTATTTTAAAATGTTATATATTGCTTTGAATTTAAACTTGAGTTGCCCTCCCTCCATTGCTGATGGAGCGGTGTTGACGTCTCCAGCTATGATAGTGGAGCTAGTGATTTCTCTTTGAGGCTCTATCCATTCTTACCTCATGTAGTTTGATGCACTGTGGTCCGGAGCACACGTGTTAAAGATTGTATGTCTTTTCAGAGAATTGACCCATTACGTAATGCCTTTCTATATGCCTGATAATTTTCCTTACTTTGAAGTCAGCTCTGTCAGAAATTAGTATAGCTTTTTCTTGCTGTTGATTAGTACTGGCATGATTTATTTTGTCCATTTACCTTTAATCTATATATGTCTTTATATTTGAAGTGAGTGTCTTGTAGATAGCATATAATCAGGTCTTGTTTTTTTTTATTCACTCTGACAATTTTTCTTTTCTTCTTCATAATTTTATGATGACATTTTTCATACAGAAAAGTTGAAATATTTAAACAATGAAGATACAATATGCCCACCACCTGGATTCTGTAGTTAACAGTTTGGATTTCTTTCTCTCTGCTTACATTTGCCCATCTGCTCCTGTATGCTGTCTACTTTATCCACTAGAGCTCTTAGCATATGAAATCATATTTGTTTCAAATTCCTGGTCTGAGAGTGCCAACATTCCTGCCATACCCATTTGCTCTGTCTCTTTAAATTATGTGTTATGCATTTTAGTATACCTTGTAGTTCTTTCTTGATAATGAGGCATGAGGTTCTGGGTAAAAGGAACGCCCTAAATAGGTCTTTAGTGACGTGGTTGGGGGGGGGGTTGGGAGAGGAAGGGAGGATTTCTAGAGTCCTAGGATTAGATCTGTCTTTGGTGAACCTGTGCCTCTGGACTTTGAACCTTATAAGTTGTTTCTCAGTTTCCTCTCCTCCAGCTGGGACAGGATGAGAGCTGACTGGAGTGGGTATTTCCCTTCTTCTAGGCCAGTCAGGCTCTGATAAAACATCAACAGGTTAGGTTGTAGTTAACTAGTTGCTCTCTTGTATTTAAGAATGATTCTCCCCCACTCCCCACTCCTACCCCCGCTGCTCCCCAATATTTGCTTTGAGAACCCAGCAGAGCTCCTGCAGGTAAATCTCACAAAACTGTAGGTACCCTGCTATGACTGGGTACCCCTGGGGTTTTTAACTCTCTGAGTTGTCTGCCCTGAGGTTCCCGTGATTTGCCAGTTGCAGTAAAGATTTCCTACTCCAGCACTGTATCTGCAGCAGCTTCCACTTGTGAGCCTTTGCTCTGGTAAGCCCTAACTCCCTATATTCGCCCGTGGTCTCTCCAACCTTGGGGGCAGAGATTTGCCCTCTGACCTTCTCTGTCCTACAGATCCAAGAGGAGTTGTTGATTTCTCAGCCAGTTCAGCTTTTTACTTGTTAGGACGAGTGGCAGTTTGTAAATTCCTTGCTCACGGAACCGGAAACCAGAATCCCTCAAAGTGCCCCCTCTCTGTGTCTTGTTCTGATCCACAGTATTATGACTGTCAGGAGCGGTAGGAACAAGAGCATTTGTATTATTGCTAGCCATGGTCTTGGCTGTTCCACATATGTTAACTCATTTAGCCCTTGTAACAGTCTTCTGAGCTAGGTACTGTTATAATCCTTTAGAGATGAGACATGGAAGCACAGAGAGATTCACTTAACGAATCATGCCAGTTATTAAATGAGAGAACCAAGAGTCAACTCTGGGCTGTGTGACTCCAGAGTCCACACTCTTAATCACCATGGTTATCTGTTTTCTCGCTCTTTGGTTACATCCTGTCCATTCCAAATCCATTTCCTGGTAATGTGCTCAATATCGCCACTTTCCTAGGATATGGTGTTGCTCATATTCATTTTGACTAATAAGTGGGTTACTAATATCAATACAATATAAAAGAAATCTTTAAAATGATTATCCAAAATACCTGGATTGTTTAAAAAATTCCTCCCTTTCTTTTACTTTATGAAGCACTTCTGTGGCTGGAAATAAATAGAAAATTCTGAATGAGGCATTGTTTTATCTTGAGGTAGAAAAAGTTGTTCACCAGCTAAAAGACATGATATAATATCCATAAAACATATGGATAAAGAAATGAAAAACTTCAAGCAATAAACTGTGAAAATATGTTTTCCACATATTTCTAAAAGGATTTGTTTATTTATTTTAGAGAGGGAGAGCAAGCGAGTGTGTGCAAGTGAGGGGAGGCCAGAGGGAGGGAATCTTCAAGCAGACTCTGTGCTGAGCATGGAGCTCCATCTCCTAACTTACGAGATCATGACCTGAGCCGAAAGAAAGAGGTGGATGTTTAACTGACTGAGCCACCCAGGCACCCCTTTCCATATGTTTAGTAAAAATATTTATTTCATTAATTTCTAACCAGTCAGACACACGTATATGCATTGATATGTACAACAAATATTTAAATATTACAAGAAATAGTAACAATGGTTATCTCTGAGGAGTGGGACAGGGGTATGGGGAAGGGGGAATTCTTTTGTCTAAGAACTCCTGTTTCAGAGATCTGGTTTTTTCATAATTAAGTTTCAAGTCTACGTATCTCTCTCTCTCTCTCTCTCTCTCTCTCTCTCTCTCTCTCTGTGTGTGTGTGTGTGTGTGTGTGTTTGCCTGTGTGTTATTTCTGGAGTTCCTTTTTCCCCCTGTTGTTTTTACTTTCTAAAACTTGCTATCTCCAAAATCCTATTAAAACAACAACAACAACAACACTTCATCTTACTTAAAACAGTTCTTTAGTAACACAGGTATGATTCTAGAAAAGCTATGCCTTCAAATATCATTATAGCAAATATTTTTAAAAGAAAACTCAGGATAGTCAAGATTTCTCAATAGTGAGGTTGTCATGTTACTAGAATAACACTTATTAATACCCTGATGTGACCAAAGAATTCAGGAAGTTCCTAAAGCATTTGCTATGATAAGGTTACATTTCTCACTGGTCGATAGCTTGCCTCTAAAACCTGAGTGCATCCTGGGCCCTCCGCGGTCCAGTCTATTCAGAGATTCACATTAAAACAATGCCCAGTACAGCAACCAAACTACATAATAAACATTTTAATTTTCACTCGTGTTTCTTGGAGCAAGCCCAATTGATAACCCAGTGGACCAAGTTTCAAGATTCCCTTTTCCCTTTCCTACCTTACAAACCTGTAGCTGGCCCACACCCTCTTGTTCAACAAAGTCCTAAAATATCCCAGACAGCCAGCTGTACCACTTTTCTGATTCTCTGCCCTCTTAGCTTTTATTATGTTGAGTAACTTGGTCTTCTGATGTTTTTAAAATTTCCTTTTCACTTTGCACATTAGAGAGCCCAGGACTGGAAGGGCAAAGAGGTCTCCTGCCTTTCTCCTTGTCTCCAGTCCTGTGCATCTCTGACCTTTCTCCGAATTCTGCAGCATAAATGTCCCAGGAACCAGATGGGCAGGGCAGGAGCAGCAGAAATGCAAAGCAGGCAAAGACAAAATTTCATTACTGAGAGAGGGACCAAGAAGAGAAACCTTTAGGACAGAGACATTAATATAAATCTCCTCAACACACTTACTTGAATCAAAGAATAATAGCTGATTAACTTGTGAATAGTATTTCTCAAGTGCTAAAAGATAATAATGGTTAGTATTTGTTTGGGGTTTACTCTGTACCATGCACTAATCTAATCACTTAAAATGCACAATCCAAGTTATTTATCCCAACAACCTGGAGAGTAGATACCCTTATTTTTCCTACCTTGTAGAGGAGGAAACTAAGGCATAGAGAGGTTATGTAGCCTCCCCAAAGTCACACAGCTAGTAAGTGGTGGCTTTATTTAGACTCAGACCCACAGCATCTAACTCCAAAGGCTAGACTTTTACAATATAAGTAAAGTACGCCCCAAAACTTGTTATGAGTTTGGTTCAATTTACATTTTTAGACCTACTTTGTTCTTTGGCTGGGTGTCCAAAGATACATTTTTTGATGATTTCCACGCTGTGGCATTTGCTTCGCTGCTGGTGGCAGTTTTATTTGTCGCTCCCCTTCTTAACTTGACACCTAGAGACACGTGTGGTTAACCGAATCCACATAAAAAAAACTTTAAAATAAGTGAGTCCACCCACAGTTTTAGATTCTTCCTTTCTAGAGTGCTTTGCTCCCGTCACTAAAGAATCTGAGAAATAAGACTTTCCTGATTTCTATAATGAAGGGAAATTAAGTCATGGATCCCTCTGACTTGTTTTTTCTTTATTCAACTGGACAGAGAAGTCTTATTACCATAATGACTTTGGTCTTGCTTTGTGGGTTTATTTCTTAGTTTTACTTAAATTTCCATAAGCAGGTGCAAGTAAAGAGGCTTACTCTGTTTGCGGGCGTATTCTGCTGCTTTGGGTGCTGTTAACATGGCGAAGGGATGCAAGGAGAGGCGGAAAGGTGAGGCTCGGGGAACCTGAAAGGAAAACAGTCCTATTTTTATTTTCTAATTTAAAAAAGTATTGTATTTATTTATTCATGAGAAACACAGAGACATAGGCAGAGGGAGAAGTAGGCTCCCCGCAGGGAGCTGATGCTGGACTCGATCCTAGGACCCCAGGATCACTCCCTGAGCCAAAGGCAGATGCTCAACCACTGAGCCACCCAGGCGTCCCAGCAGTCCTGTTTTTAAAAGCTGCGCACACTTTGTGCTGTTAGCACCTGCTAGTTATAGCACCTGGTCTCTTGAACCAGCCCATGGTCCTCGGACAGCACCAACCATCCGTGGGTGACTCCTGTTTCGCATGGCACACCTGTTCATATACTGCCCTTTGCTCCCACTCCCGGTCGCCTTTGCCCAGGATGCCCTTTCACACACTGATGCTCTTCACATTGTTGCCTTTGACCTGGGATAACCATTTGCACCTTTTCTGCCTAGAGGCTCCTACTTTCCCTTAGAGATGTAGCTCACATATCACCTTTTCTGAGATACTTGCCCCTTGCTTCCCCACCCCCACTCTCCTGTGCTGGCACCCTGCACCCCACCTTATCTCAAGGCAGAATTGCTGACTCTACTTGTCTGGGAGCTCAAAGCATGTGCTCATGTAGGACAACCCCAGTGTGGGGTAGTTAGTTATAACCCACTGTCTGCTGCAATACACTGGAAACTTCTACAAGGTTAGAACTGTCTCTTCATTCATTCCTTCCTTTGACAAGTTTTCAGTTAGCACCTACTATGGGCCAGACCCTGTGTCAGGAGCTATGGTTACTAAGAAAGACAAGGCTCCTGCCCTTCTGGAGCTGAGGAGGTGCAAATGATAGACGATTAAACATCCAGGGTAATCATACATTGTGATAAGTTTAATATATAAAACAAGATGATGTGCTAGCAAGTGACTGGACAGCCACCACTTCAGACAGATGGTCAGAGAAAGCCTCTAGAAAGAAGCAGTGCTTCAGCTGAGATTTCCAGAATGATCGACCACCAGCTAGGGGAAGAACAGGAGAGGAGTGCACCAGGCAAAAGGAACAAGAAGGTATTCTTAGAATAGCCTGCATTTCCAGACACAGAAAGGAAGCCAGTGTGGCTACAGCATAGTGAGAAAGGGGAAATTATAGATGGGGCTGAGGAAGGAGGCAGGAGCCAGATCATCTGGGTCCTTGTTGGCCATGGTAAGCCATTGAAATATTTTTAAGCTGTAGTATGACAAGGTCTGATATAGGTTTTAAAAAGATAAAAATAAAAATAAAAATAAAAATAAATAAAAAGATGACTCTGGCTGCTGTGTGGAGAATGGGTTGGATTGTGGAAGCAGGGAGCCCAGTTAGCTAATTTGACTTTTTCTCTCCAGTTCCCTAGGGAGTGCCTAGCACGTAGTACACCCTCAAGTATCATTGACCAGTAGAACAACTACCATTCTAGTCCAGCAATAGTGGTTAAAAGCATGGACTTCAGTCAAACAGGCTGTATGAAAGTGCACAAGGTGTGTGACTTGGGCATGTCACCTAATTCCTCTGTGCCTGTTTCTTCATGTGATAATAATAATACTGGCAATGACCTTATAGGGTTGTGGTAGGAAATAAAAATTTAGTATATGTAAAGTGCTTAGAATAGTGCTTGGCACATAGTACAATATATTGACTTTTAAATTAATGATAATAATAATTATTATTATTTATATTTGTCATCACCACCTCCCTCCCTGACTCATCTCTCTCTATTGTGTAGAATAACCCATGGCAACAACTTGACCACCATTTTCTTTACAAGATCCTGCCTGGAAACAGCTAATCATTTATTTATTTTTATTATTTATTTATGAGAGTCACACAGAATGAGAGAGAGAGGCAGAGACATAGGCAGAGGGAGAAGCAGGCTCCATGCACCGGGAGCCCGACGTGGGTCTCCAGGATTGCGCCCTGGGCCAAAGGCAGGCGCCGAACCGCCGCGCCACCCAGGGATCCCGGAAACAGCTAATCAAAGAAGTAATTAAAAAACAACTCATTAGAGCCAGGAGGCCTGAAATAATTAATATCCCTCTGCAAGATCAATAATTTTCTGCTTTCTCACTGAGATTCAGGCTTCATATTTATAGAATTTATTTCTAAGGAGCAAGATATGGTTATACAATTCTCTTTATGTATACATTTCAACAAATATGCTGTTTCATCAATAGGACACCCTTACATGATGTATACCAAAAGACAAGAATGATATCCATTTTTAAATAATAAAATACCAATTTTTAGATAACGAGGTGGGTAGAAAATTTTCCACCCTATCATCCAAATTGATAATGATCAAGTTCCCGCATAATTGGTATTCCTTCAAAATAAATAGAAATATGTATTTCCACAATTTGAGTTTAAGATAATTGTGTGGTTTATATATAGGTGGGAAGTTTTTGTTTTAAAGAAAGGTACTATAGTTATGTATTATTTTGCAATTTTCAAGAAGAATGACTGACCAGAGAGCCAGGAAAAGCCTGTGTCCCTGACAACCCTGCGGAACTGTGCTACCGGCCCTGGTCTGCCCACCTCTGGCTCCTTCACGTGAGAAGTAGAGGTGTTTTCACGATTACTATAGGTTTTTGGTTGTCTTATACAGAAAACATGAGTTAAACAATAAATGAGGTTATGTTCTCTTTGTTGACAGAATAGTTTATAGCTATCTGGGTAGGGGCCCTTCTAAATTTGATCTCAGCTTTCTATTTAAATGCCAAAAGTATTTATAGAGGGGAGCGCCTGGGTGGCTCAGTGGTTGAGCATCTGCCTTTGGATCAGGTCATGATCCTGAGGTCCTGGGATCAAGTCCTGCATCAGGTTCCCTGCAGGAAGCCTGCTTCTCCCTCTGCCTATGTCTCTACGTCTTTTTGTGTCTTTCATGAATAAATAAATAAAATCTTAAAAATATATGTATATAGAGTTTATTTCCTATCTACATTGTAAAGAATTAAATATAAGCATAAAGGATGGTCTCCCACTTCAAGAAGTAGATAATCTATTCAGAAACATGGCCCTAATATGCAGAAGGTGATGAAAGGAGGCTTTGTATTAGTTTGGGGACAATTATGGCTATGGGAGCAGCCCTTCAGAATAATGTATACGAAGTCCAAGAAAAAGAGAACTGGCTTACATGTCGTTCTCCGTGCATTTGAAGATTCATGCTTTTCATGCTCTAGTTCCTTATCCACTGGGGAAGATAGAACCTGATAATTTTAAAAGTCACTTCTAGCTCAGATATTCATAAGTCCTGATAATCTGATGGCTCATGCAAACAGTTCCTACAGCTTCCTATGTAGTTCATATGAGAAATTATTTTCAAAGTAGGATGAAATTCAAGTCCTAAACCTAGAGTTGATACTACAGTCTTTTTTTTTTTTACTTTAAAGCTATTTACTAAGGTCATCGTTGTATCAGTATAGAAGTATTATTACAATTATTTCTTGATTCATATTCTTTTGAGGTGCCAAATTCTGTCCAAAGCACATTCAACAAAAATTTCTTCTAGCTGGAAGTGGGAAGAGAGAGAGAAGAAGATGGAGGTTTGTCATATAGGAATGTGCACAAGAAAGGCCCTGGATACATCAAGGGATGAAGAGTATAGATTTTTTTAAATTTGAGACAGAGAGAGCGAATGAGTATTAGCAGGGTGGGTAGCAGAGGGAGAGGGAGAATCAGGTTCTCTGCTGAGCAGACAGCCAGATGCAAGGCTCAATCCCAGGACCTGGGATCATGACCTGAACCTAAAGCAGACACCTAACCAGCTGAGCCACCCAGGCGCCCCAAGGGATGCAGAGTATAGAAGTAATCTTCATCTGCCTTTCAGCCTTGAGGACTAATTTACTAAAATGTCATTTGGTTTCACTGAGACAGAAGGTGTAGAATTTCTGATTCTAAATGTCAAAACAATTGAACGTATTCTCACGACAGTCATATTTCTCCAAAGTAAAATTAGGGCACATCGTCTGGAAAGACAGTTGTACTGTCCAAGATGCTTTTCAAATGTGGTTGGGATCATGCAACATCATATTTTCTAAATGTTTTAATGTTTGTGAAGAGAAAGGGCAAATTTCAAATAGGAAGAGTACTGGAAAATCTAGGACTTTACTGATTATATTTTTAAAAATTGAGGCTCTGTGTAAATTAAAAGAAAGAAAGAAAAATGACCCAACCAAAAAAAAAAAATGGACGGAAGATTTTTAGCAGGCACTTCACAGAAGACGAACACAGAAATAGTTATTCATTGGTAATCAGAGGAATATGAATTTAAACCACTTAACAGCCACTTAACAGACTGACAAACTTAAAAAGCCTGAAAATAGCAAGTTTTGGTGGCAACCAGATAACCTCACTGCAGGTAGAAGTGTACATTGGTACGACCATCTTAGAAAACAGTTTGGCTTTATGGAGAGCTAGAGATGCTCATACCGATGAGGTGGTGGGGTCACACCTAGACATAGGCCATACAGAAATCCTGTTACTGTACACAAAGAGACATGTAAGAGAAATCATCCAAGTGTCTAAAATAGAAGAATATGTAAATAAATTGTGGCGTACTCCTATAGCAGAATATTATGGGCAGTAAACAGTGTGTAATGTCAGAGATGAATTTCTGCAACATAATGTTGAATGAAAAAAGAAAGCCATGGAATAAAACATCTGCTTCATTTGTAAAGACTGCTTTTTATATTACTTCTATCAAGTTCAAAGAACATGCAAAACTAAACAGTATGTTGATGAGACATGCATATGTGGTAAAATTAGAAAGAAAGACAAGAAAATGGTAAACGCTTGATTCTATATAGTGGAAATATAGAGTACCAGGAAGGGTAGGGGCTGGAGAGGACGCAAGGGGAGCTCCCAAACTCTTGATACCGTTCCATTTCATCCACTTGGTGGATTTGTTGTTTGATTGGCTTTTATACTTTAAACTTATATTGTAAGTATTCATTTGGACATAATGGATATTGAAAGCATGGTTTTCCACCTCTCATCATAAAGATCTGCCAATATTGAACTTTTGTGTAAACCCAATGGATCCTTCTCCTTATCATGAAAATGCTTTTCATTTCTGGGTCAGCATCTTTCAAGAAGAGAAAACACTCGGCAGATTATTGTGGTAAGTGCCTGGAGGTAGGGCTGCAGAAGGATGTGAGGGGAAGACGAGCCTGCTGCAGGGAGGCCAGGCTGCTGTCAATGGACTTCTGTGGATGAGAGGCAGGAGTGTGGGTGGGTTTGGAAATAATAACACTAATGTTGAAGGTCCGCCACCCCATACCAGCATCATGCACCTGATGTGTATGGCCTCCCTGAAATGCTCAGAAGGACCTAGCATACTTTGGTAAGTGTAATCATGCATATTTACATGTAGGGAAATAGGGAATCAGGGAAGTTAAATAACTTCTCCAACGCCACACAGCTAGCAAGTGGCAGAGCTGGAACTGGACACCAGTCTGTTTGCCCCTGAAGAGCGTGCTTTGGACTTGAGGTGGAGTTAAATGATGGTTGGTCAGACTTTGGGGTGTGGCTGCAGGAAGAGAGAGGGTAAGTAGAGGTTCTGGTGTTCTCCAGTCACCTCTCCTTGTCTTTCTCTTCTCTTTGCTTGTCTTTCCTTCCTCTTTCTCTGACAAATGGAACTGAAGAATATTTTTATTGCCTGCTTGCTTTGTTGAAAGCAGATTTATGCTTCTTTTTCTTCAGTTTAAAATTGAGCAGGCTATTTTATATTTATCTGAAGCTGGTTGTTAGTAACAGTCATTTGTGTGAGACCCTTAGTTGATTTTTTTTCCCCTATAGGTCCAACATCCTCAGCAAAAAAATGGCTCCCTGTCATCAAATAAGAGCTCCCTATCAGCAGTAGAACTTGAGGATAATAGACTTGGTGACTAACACTGAGCCCATGATGCCTTTCTGTCACCAGGTGGCAGCAAATACTCCTGAAGAAAGCCATTAAGCCAATGCACAGCCCATATAAAATTGTGCAGCCAACTTTAGTGGTGAGAACTTCTACATAATCTCATTAGTATTCTACAGGGCTTTGCGCTCTTGCTTGGACAGGATCTTAGCTGTTGCTTAGGAGACATTTTATCCAAAGGAATCATTTTATTCAAAGGAATTCATATACATGCAGCAATTAGAGAAGAATCTTTGTCAATAACTTCTTTTGAACAACCCCATCTCCCAGTTAAAACAATTTTTTGAAATTATATTAAACCTCGAAAGTCTGTTTTAAAATAGCTCTTACAACTTAATATTCGAAATGCTACATTTCCATTGAGAGGTTCTATCAATTTCTGATTTAAGATGTGAAGGAGGTCCCAGAGTTGAGCTGATATACAGCCACAATAGAGAGGCCTGGGCTGGTATTCTTGAGGTAGGGGGAAGCCTGTGAGGTCCACAAGGGTAGATGAGCCTTGCATTCTCGTATTTGTAGCTCGAATGGTATCATACCCTATGTGATCATTTGGTGTCTAAAATAGGCAAAGTTTATATTATGTTGATAATATATATGATGCTTGATGAACTATTTAGTTATGTAGAGCAGTGGTTCTCAACCAGCTGTGATTTTGCTTCTTAAGGGACATTTGGCAAAGTGGAGAGACATTTTTGGTTGTCACATTAGGGGGAAGCTATTGGCATCTAAAGGGCCAGCAATGCTGCTAAATATCCCACAATGGACAGGACAGCCCCCCAGCTCCACCCCTACACAAACAACAAAGGATTATCGGAAATGAAGTGTTGAAAAACCTTGATTTATAGAAATATAGAAGAAATCATATACCCAAATCCCAAGTACCAGAACCTTAACTATAGTTATTGTGTTGAGGTTACCATGTGCCAACCACTAAGGGCTCTACTGGTACTAATTCATGTCATTTCCCACAGCACTCCCTTTTTCTGGTTCCAATTTTTTTTAAGATTTATTTATTCATGAGAGGCACACACACAGAGAGAGGCAGAGACACAGGCAGAGGGAGAAGCAGGCCCCATGCAAGGAGCCCAATGCAGGACCCAATCCCGGGACTCCAGGATCACACCCTGAGCCAACGAAGGCAGGCGCCAAACCACTGAGCCACCCAGGGATCCTCTGGTTCCAATTTTTATGATGAAATTGAGGGTGATGGAACTTAGAAGGATTCTTCTGCTTGCAGTTGGCTCTAACCCAGGCAATCTGGCTTCAGAATCCTCATACTGAACCCCTACCCAAGCTGCCTTCCAGTTACAAACCTATAAATGAGCTGAGAGTCATATCCTATAACAATATACAAATGCAGGTGTTTGAAGGAATGCCCTCTCCATGTTAGTATTTTCTATGGCCCTTTTGAGCTGGTCATTATGTAGTCTATGTACACATCTGGGCTTTTTAGTTTGAGTCACTGACTGTGAGAACAAGACTGTGCATAACCAAACAGGGAATGTGCTGAATAAAATCTATTTACTGAATAAGTGAAAGACAGGATGGATAGGCAGCAATTGGCCTGCCCACCTCTAAATAGCATGGTTTCCTATTCCAGCCCTTTAAAATGAAGCTAGCTAGTTGCTTACAAAGGCCAGAGTTACTTGGACACCTGTGTTTGCAAACTTTCTTGATTGATAACCGAACCAAGACTAGAAGGGTTCATAGGGCCATCCCCTCCAGGATGTGATTTTCCATATTTGCCCTTTGACCATGTGAGTTGAGGTCAACCAGTCAGTGCATGATGCCTGCCCTAGCCATCCCCAGGCACCAGAAGATGTGGAAAAATACAATGGCTGAGCCCTAGGGGGCTGGGCTGGATAGTCATGTGTATATGTTAGGAGGGTTGGGGAAAGGGGCAGCCTTCCAGAGGGCAGCCTGGAAGGGGGAAAACTGCGGAAAAAACCAGCAGAAATGAAGCACTATGGTTTGCTTGGCTCTTTAAGGAACCAAAAGAGCTGGGATATCTTTAAAAGCACAGAATAGCTTGGTCTCTGAGGAGTACTGGACCTGGGGTAGCTTATATGTCAACCAAGGTAGAATGTCAGCTCCAACATAAGATACAAGACCTACGAGAAAAGTAATCTTGTCTGACTTGTTCACCATCAAATCCTTTGCACCTATAACTATATTGAATGAATGAATGAATGAATGAATGAGGTTTAAACTAGGGTGATCAGAAGAAAGGTGCTGATGTCCTCTGTGACCAAGGGACTTTGAGTTTCAGGACTAGAGCCAGCTTACATATGGATTAAAAGTGACGAGGCACTCGGATTCAAAGTTTCAACACTTTTTAGTAAATTCTTGACTCTTCAGCTGGACCTGGTGGGCTCTTGATTTTATGAGACCCCACTGTTTGCTGTATGGTCTACAGGTAAAAGAACAAGAGAGGCAGGCATTTCTGTGGCCATAGCCCTGCCTCTGCCCTGGCCTTCCTGCCAAGTTGTGGTGGGAATCAAAAGTGACAGTGTGAGCAGAAGGTTGGGTTATTAGGGTATGGACTCTCTCTCTTTCCTCTCTGCCTCCCTCCCACTGCACAGTCCTCCAGCTCTATCCCCTTTTCCCTTTTCTAGAGGTATCTAAAGTCAAATAGATCACTGGTTCACCTCTAAATACTATCTTATATTTAATGTTTACTAAATGTTCATATGACTGTAAGTAGCAAAAACTGAACTGGCTATAAGGTTAATTCAGAATATTAAAAAAATTTTTTAGACCAGTATATGAAAACTCAAAGAAGGAAAGGGATCTAGGGCTCCGTAGAAGTGGTGTCCGAAGTGGTGTCACTGGACTTCTGATAGTTGTTGCTTCTGTTGTAATGTAAAGGACTCTCATGGGAAGGAGAAGAGTGATGGCAGCAAACTACAGAATTTATCAGGAGATAGAAACTTGCAGAGCTTGTCCTAGTTCTAAATGTCCTGGTACATCGTGCAAGAGGAGCACTTGGACTTGCCAAACGTACATTACAAAATGTGGAAGTGAGAAATTCTGCTCACCAGAAACAGAGGCAGAATCTAGACTCTAAGCCTGGTGCTCTATTTGCTGCCTTTACTCAGCCTTGTGCAAAATACGTTTGTGATTACGAACAGCCCTCACATAAGCAAATCATTTTACAAAGACTTATTATCCAACTAAGATATGGCTACATCTGGTTTTGTACATTTTGATGAAAAAAAAAACCCTGTTGTTTCATGCAGTTGAAAATGTTAAAAACACATTATAAATATATAAAATAAATTCTTTCTAAAAATCTCTTTTATTAGATAGTTTCAGATCACTCTTACCTTAGTAGCCCCAGAATTGGTAGAAGAATCAGCTCCGTATATTTTAAAGACTTCCTCAATTGGGATACTGTTCTGTTAAAAAAAACAACAGCACCAACAAATGCATTATCATATCATGGCTTTTCTCATATTACAAAGCAAAGAAATCATAGCTCTGGTGTGTCTAGTATCATGCTTGGATACCATGGGCACTAAACAAATAACTTCTGAATAAATGGATAAATCAGAATCTCAGTATTATTATATATGTCTTTCATTCTTGTGTGTTTGTTTTTGCCTCTTTTTTTTTTAAGATTTTATTTATTTATTTATTTATGAGAGACACAGAGAGAGGCAGACACAGGCAGAGGGGGAAGCAGGCTCCATGCGGGGAACCCGATGCAGGACTTGATCCCGGGACTCCAGGATCACACCCTGGGCTAAAGGCAGATGCTCAACTGCTGAGCCACCCAGGCGTCCCTCAAGGACTTTTCAATATCTTTAAAACTGAAACATTTAATATTAGTAAATCCTAAGCATTTAGAAAGATCAGTTGAAAAATAAAATAAATATGCATTAATACCAAAATGCACATAATAAATATGAAATCTCCATATATACAAATAGTGTTCTTTTTCCTTACCATTAAGATTCCAGCGTAAGATGATAAAATCATTGCTTCTCTTTCTTTCCGGTTTGGATATACAGGTCTGTCATGAAATGGCATTTTCCTAAGGGAGATAATGAATAAATAACAATGGAAGGCTTATTTTTTTCTTTTTGACACCTAGTAAGCTTATAATAATAATCCATAATTAATGTCCAATGGCCATGTGTTATGCACTTATTTACAAAATTGAGGTGGTTAATCTGCCATCAGTATAGTACACACTTTGAATTTGCAATCTTGCAACAATGGTGATGAATTTGCCTTCCATGTTTTCACCACTGCCAAACACTGGCCACTATGGTGGACAATTATGGTTTTGCCAATCTGTATCCTCTTCCCCTTCTGTGGCAGAACTCTCCCCTTCTTGCTGGGGTAACCACGTCACCACTGTAAGCCTATCTGCTTCTAGGGAAGCCAAGGACACCCCTAGATTCCAAGGGTAGAAAACACACTGTGGACTAAGCTAGTCAGAGTATTCCAATCTCCCACCCTCCATCGCTGGATAAATCAGGGGCTGAGGCATGACTGAGACACAATTCTGTGATATTTTTCTTAAACCTATTTTCCTGTGGACTGAATATTGTGACAAAATGGACTGAATGAAGAATAAGGTTCACCATTGAGTGGCTTAGTCTGTAAAGGATCAGACTGTTGATTTCAGCTCAGTTCATGATCCTAGGTTCCTGTGATTGAGTCCTGAGATGGAGCCCTGCCTTGGGCTCTGTGTTGAGTGTGGAGCTTGCTTGGGATTCTCTCCCTCTCTCTCCCTCTGCTCCTCCCCACCACTCAGGCTCTCTTTTTCTCTCTCAGAAAAAAAGAAAGAAGGAAGGAAGGAAGGAAGGAAGGAAGGAAGGAAGGAAGGAAGGAAGGAAGAGAGAGAGAGAAAGAAAGAAAGAAAGAAAGAAAGAAGAAAGAAAAGAAAGAAAGAAAGAAAAAGAAAGGAAGGAAGGAAAGAAGAAGAAAGAGGAAAGAGTCCAGAAGTAAATCCTGATGACATAATTTGAGTTTTAAATTAAGTCATGCCTAATGTAGACCTACTCCTGGACTTTTCAAATAGAGTCAATAAATTCCTACTCTCCTCCCCTTTTGAGGGGGAGTGCTTAAGTCTGTTCAAGCTAGATTTTCTGCTTATTACAACTAAACCTTAATTGATATAGCTATCCAGGACAAGGTATGTGTTCTAAGGTGATGGAACAGAAAAATAACTGGCCTCTTGAGTAAGCTATTAAGTCCTGGCCTCATTAGTTCCTTATTTTTACCAACTGAGTGAGTCTGCCTGGCACACATGGAAATGCCAATAGTCCTGGAAAGGATTCAAACAGCTGTAGTTCAAAAAGCTCAGCTCAGGTATATGTCTAGTTAAATGCTTAAGAGGTTGTGTTTGATAGTCCTTAGAAAACAACCATAGCCCTTACCCACAGAATTGACCATTTTTAAAAAAGATTTGTTTATTTGAGAGAGAGAGAGAGAGAGAACACAGAGGGAGAGGGAGAAGGAGAGGGAGAGGGAGAGGGAGACTTCCTGCTGAGCGGGAAGCCCAACTTAGGGTTGGATCCCAAGACCCTGAGATCATGAACTAAGCCAAAGGCAGATGTTTAACTGACTGAGCCACTCAGGTGCCCCAAGAATTGACCATTTTAAAAATCACAGCACATGCACAATAAAGCACAGTTATATTTCTAAGATACAACATTATGTGTGAGAAAGATCATCTGACAGAAATCAGCAGAGATGCAAAATATGTAAACATGTATATGTTGACAACTATGGGGTCTCTTTAGGTATCTAGCAGGCAAGGGATACTCACCCTGCAGCATTTTCGAACAGAGTGCCTCATGGTGGAAGATGCCAGAGAGAAGCTTTCTCTATCACTACTCATAGTCATACATTTTTTTAAAAAAAGAAGGAAAAAAAAAGAAACTCTTTCAACTCACACTTTCTCCCACTCCAGCCAAGTTAAGTCTTCTGAGTGATCCAGCCATTGCAAAGCAACATTGATGGCCAAGTCATAGTGTGCCTGGAAGCGGGAAGCACAGACAGCAAAGGGATGGGCTTAGACATTGGCTGGAGCACCCCCTGGGCCCAATGACTATGGCATTGCTAAGCCTATTCTACTATTTTATGATGTCTACAATGGGGGGGACCATCTACTATGTCCAGTAACCTGATGCTCAGACAGAGATTTGAGATTTATTTAGAAATCTTCAGTGATCACATTTACTTCTCACTAGGGCCATTTTTAAATTTTTGATTCATGGTGACAGGAAAAGAAAGGATAAATTCTTAGAAGGAAACTAGGAATCAGGGAATCTAGGTTCAAATCTAGATATTGCCAACAACTCACAATATATCCTTGAGTAAGCCACTGAAGTCCTCAGGGCTTCAGTATCCCCAAGTTTTAAAATAGTAAAAGGAGAAGGTGGGGGAAGAGGGCCACAGAGAACAATTTTGAATTCTGTGAGCAGAACATCAGAAATGTGCTCTCAGGGGGATCTTGGGAGGCTTCCAAGAGGAGGCCCTGGTGGATCTCGGGCTTGAAGAATGAGAACTTCTCTAGGTGGAGAAGGACATCCTGCGTGGCAGGGCCAGTATGAGCAAAGGACTGGAGGTAGACCTGATAAGAGTCTTGTATACAGTAAAAAGTTGAGGACCAATTCGAATGTTCACTTCTATCCTATTGATCATCTTTCTGGTAATATCTAAGCATATTCACCTTGTCCCTATCAAAATATTCCTTCTCTCCTCTCTATACCCACCTCCGGAAAAGGGAAGGTTGGTTTTGTCTTGGTGGTATTAGATGGGTTCTAAGGTTCTAACATTGTCTAAATAATGTACAGTTGATCCTTGAACGCCCAGGGGTTAGAAGCACCAATGCCTGCAGTCTCAAATCCTCTATAACTTTTGACTCCCCCCAAACTTAACTACTAATAGTCTGCTGTTCACTGGAAGACTTGCTGATAACATACACAGTTAACACATATTTTATATATTACATATATATACTATATATATTATAGATTACATTCTTATAATAAAGTAAGCTAGAAAAAAGAAAATGTTATTAAGAAAATCATAAGAGAAAAAATATTTACAGTACTGTAGTATATTTATAAAAAAAAAAGATTCCGTGTATAAGTGGACCCGTGTTGTTCATGTTGTTCGAGGGTCAACTGTACTTATTTCTTTCATCAACTAAACCAAACTAGAAAACACAACAACAACAACAACAAAAAACAAAAACAAAAAAAAGAACAGTGATCAGTGGTTGAAACCTAATCCAAAGGTTGGTGTTTGGACCAGCAGCCTTGGCATCTCCAGTTGCTTATCACAAATGCAAATTCCCAACCCCACCCAAACTTCCCAAATCAAAAGGGCCTTGCATTAAGATCTCATTAAAGCTCGAGAAGCACTTATTTAATCGATTTAATTTCTCCATTGAACATGTGCACAGAGAAGTACTTTTAGAACGCCAAGGCTGAACTGCTTATTCAGCTCCAGAAAGTCAGGCAGGGAATGGAGAGGGGTGAGGGGAGGGGTGGAGGGAAGGGTGGGGGGAGGGGGAGGGAAGGGGAGGAGCAGAGAGAGAGGCTTTCTTCCTTAGTGCAAGAGGAGGAAACAGGTAAGCATAAAAAAGCTGAGGGTTGACTAATTTATTTGAATTAGATCTTTACATAATTTCTTAATTTCTGTGAAGGGAAGTTTCATAACACATCAGGAATCTGAGTTCCAGCATAAATAATGATGAAGGATTTTAGGATTATTCAATCCTTTGGTTTTCTCCATGAATGTAAATGGTAAAAAACAAAACATTATTATATTCGAGAACTACATACTTCATTTTGTCAAAAAGTTTTCAACATCATATATATAACATTTAACCTTGCACTCATTTGCTTTTTTGTCTTTCGAGGAGAGAAATAGCAAAAGTCTCATGACTTTTACATTCTCATTCTTTTTGCTTTCCGTGTAATGAGTTGAAAAGACCATGTGGAGGGACCTAGGATGAGAAGAGGAGGAAGAGGACATTTGGGGAGCATCACGATTAGCCTTGTTCACGATCTACATTAGATCCTTGTTCTGTCCCCTGAACACAAATAACACAAATGTGACTTGCATTGGCATGCCTTTCTTTACCATATCATCTAGAAAGGTGAGTTGCCTTCTTCCTTTTGGGTCAAATTCATTTTCCCGAAGTCTGATGCCAATATAATCTCCCCTTAAAAGCAAGAGAGCAGCATTGAGCCATTGGGAATGAGAGGGGAGCTCCGTCTGCAGAAGAACATTCTTCCCAACCCTCCCTCCTCCACCAAAAGACAAAGCCACTGGTGGCTCTGGTAGCTCAACTAATACTCATTTAGATTTAAGTAGCAATTCTGCAATGATATAGATTTAAGGCGTCTAACCACTGTGAACTTCAATCACATTTATCTAAAAATAAAACTCATGTAGTTGGAACAGAATTGATGGGAAAGTGGAGAGGGGCCTGACAACTTCCCACACGCAGAGGAGATCTTAAAACCAAAAGGATGGAGACCTGCTGTTTAAAACAAAGATTCCCTTGCTGCCTGTGTTAAACTCAGTCAGAACGTCCAAAGTTGAAAAGTTCCAGCCCTGTGATGTTCTGTATGGATGTATCCTCTTGCCCTAAGGCCTTTTTCCCCATTAGAAGGCAAAGGAGGAATTATGCATAAAACCCAGGAATTCCTGTGGGAACCTTTCCCAGCTGCCCTGGGAGAAGAGAAAGGGGGCTACCCCCCCAGGGGAAGTCAGGAGAAAGGAAGGATAAAGGGTTCTGGGTCCCCAGGGTCCATCTGTACAGATCCACACTTGGACATGAAGTCAGTTCCATTTTCAAGGTCCGTACCGTGCACTTGGGGCAAGTTCCTGCCAGGGCAGTGGGGGCCGGGAGGGGTAAGTTTGTGTCTGGTTTCCAAAAGTTTTCTGAGTCTATTAAGCTAAAATTAATAAAAATTATCAAGTTTTGCTCTCTAATTCCAAAGTACTCTATCTAGAGTAGCCTAAATCTTATTCTTTGGATATAAAATTAAATCAGTTTTGAAATTCCAGTTCTACATGGAGAATTGACATTTCTGATAACAATTTTTTTTTACTATGTTGGCCTCCAAGCACATACATGTAAGTAAATATGTATAAAGTCATATATATTTTCTTCCAATATTTTTTAAGGACTTGTTAAAAAACAATTACTACAATAGGCGGGAGAAAGGACATCTGATGAGGACTGTGAGAAGGTCTTTGATAAAAAGGATGTTATTGTCATGCCTATAATGTATATGAACTAGAATGGCCTTTTTCCCCCTTTTGACGTGGTCTGTGTTTTTCACCAACCTCTTAATAAAGTCGCAGAAAAGCTACCGGGGGAGAAAAATTTTTTCCAGGGGAAAACTTGACTTTTTTTTTTTTAAGTTCAGATGTCAAGAAAAAGGAGATGAATTATTTAGTCAATAAGACTGACAATAATAGAGGCAGAGGCTGCAATTAAAATGCCGGGCCCTTGGGTACATCTTGCAGAAATCTCTTCTATCTTTCACCAGCAGGGCCCTTTTAAAGGTGCATCCTGAGCAGTACAGGCAATCTGGGCTGGGGGCTCAGCTGTTGGGCTCTAGAATGGGGGTGCCTCTGACACACACGATCCTGGTAGAAACGTCCTCTCAGGAGAGTCTGCATCCTCCTTTGCCCCACATGTGAGGCCTCTCAGGCAGGAGGCAGAGACTAGCTCATCTGGCTTTCTGCTTTACTGCAGGAATAGATTCTTCCTCAGATTTTTAACGCCCTCCCCCCACCCCACCTGCCAATATCCAGACCACCTATGACCTGCAACCCACCAGAAGCCTAGTGTAATAAACAAAAGTTTATTCTCAATCATACTTACAGGAGCTTTTTCATTTCCTTCTTTAGGAGCTTTCTTTCCATGATTCAAAGCTTGTCCAGCTGGGCAGGTAGCTGTAGCTTACACTGTACCTGATATCCTTGGGGAAGACCCAGCCTCTCTGAGCCTACAGGCTACAGCAGCAAATCAGAGAGAATTGGAATTGGGATGCTATCACTCCAAATACCAGTCATGGAGTCCTAGGCTCTGGAAGGGATCCGGGAGTGTGCAGAGCTCAGACCTCTTATCCAGCAAGTTCCAGGTCAGAATTTAACTGGCTGGGGGTGAGGAATGGGAGGGCAGTGCATTCATTGTACCTTGAGTTTGTCTGATAACCTTTTATTTTTTCCAAGTTTCCCAATATTCATCACTTACTTATCCTTGCAATAAGCTAGCAAGTAAAACAGTCCTGGCTCAGGTAATTGTAGATGAGATTATTTGCAAAGAAGCATCAAAAGTGTTGTAATCTGAATCTGTGGGCTCTGTGCACATTCAACATAGTGACTCTCAGTGAATCCACCTTGGTACAATGGCTCATAATGGAATTTTCTATAGAATCCATGTATGACTTTCTATGGCCAAGGGTCCTGGAAAGAACATATCACCATGGCAAATATGAAGCCATATCCTCAGTTCTTACCCCCACACTAAGCCAGAAATTCAAGTTTAGATAAGGAGGTCAAAAAGGGTTTGAAGTCACAGAAATGCGGTGCCCAGAGAGAGGTAGAAGCAGGATATCAACTATGTCTGCGATGTTTTATTCTTAAACAAGATCAAAAGCAAATTGTGATGGTTCATTTTTATGTGTCAACTTGGTTAGACTGCTGCGCCAAAATATTTGGTCAAAAATTGTGCTAGGTGTTTCTGAGAAGGTGTTTTTTGGATGAGATTAACATTTAAGTCAGTGAACTTTGAGTAGAGCAGATTACTGTCCGTTATGTGAGTGGCCTTCATCCAATCAGTTGAAGGCTTGAATAGAAGAAAGATCGACTTTTCCCAAGCACCAAGGAATTCTGCTGGAAAACCCTATCATGGGTCTCCAGCCTGCCAGCCTACTACCCCTTCAGATTTTGGACCGGCCAAGCCACCGCAGTCACGTGAGCCAATTCTTTAAATCTCTCTCTGTTCATGTATACACATATATACATATATTTTCAGTGTCTCTGGAGAACCCTAATAGACAAATGTATATTTAAAAAGTTAACATTTGTTGAATCTGGGAAGATAAATTCACAGATGTTCATTATCTAAACTTCTGTACTTTTGAAATTGTGCCTGTGTTTTTAATTCATTACTTTAAGTATGGTTGGAATAAATAAAACTTTGGAAACTTTTGGGAAAAAATTGCAGTCTATATTTGATTCAGCTCACCAACAAGAAGCAAAGAGAAAATAGGATATCATTAATTTAAATGAATTCTTCACCAGACCAATTTAATTATTTTTGGACTATTCTTGCTGCCACTGCATCTGCTTCTGTCTTGGACGGGATGTGGAAAAGATGAAGACGAAAGGTGGGGGGCAAAGTAGGAGCATTCCATAGGGAATGAATGAACTCCATAGATAGTAATATAGTTCTCTACGGGAGAGTCAATTGGGAGAGAATACTGCAAGCCAGAGAGGGAACCTTGTGGCCTAGAAGGAAAAGCACTGAACTGGGGAGGTCAGATGCCGGGATGTGGTGTCCACTCCACCACTGATTGGTGTGGTGGTGGCCAAGCCTCTTGACTCTTCTGCACCCCAGTTTCAGGTCTTATCTAAAAAACGATGAACCTGGCTGACGTCGCCAAGAACACCTTTTGCCCTAGCACTTGAAACTTGATAAAGGCTAGCACTTCTACTTCACTGAGTCAGAAGAGCACTTATTGGTAGAACATTTGCTTTATCTCAATTCCTTGACAAGGGGGTGGGTGGGCTCCCTTAGCTTTGATGCCTTTTTAAAAGCAAAAGACCTAGCATTGGCTTTAACCCATTCTTGTTTGTAATTCTGAGCCAACTCTTTGATTTTCAGACTTACAGTTTATAAAATATGCGTCTCTTGGATGCTGTGACAGCTTCCTCTTAGACCGCCCTCCCCAAACGCCATTCAATGTGGCATAATATAGAAAGGTTAAAATCTTAAAAGTATGAGCATGTCCCAACCCCAGGAGGTCCAAAGACCCAGTAAGCCTATCAGTTAGCTGTGTCACATTGGATAAGTGAATCTGTCTCTCTGTGTTTTTGTGTCTCCTCTTCTGTAAAACAATCAGTGGAATGAGTAGAGGTGTCCCTTCTAGCTGTAGAGTTCAGTGACTTACATGCTTTGAGGAGCTGGGCCTGGTTGAAAGGGGGCCGTTTGCATAGACTACGTAGTTTCAATTTGAATTCAGCCACTCTTCTGTCTATAGAGCTTTCACAAAAAAACAAGACTCTGGCTGGCAATACACACAAAAGAGTTAATAGAAAGAGGTCAGCTGTCTCAGGCATTAGCTGTTTCATAGAAATGAACCCCACAGAAGTCTCAGCTTTACTCTGTAAGAACATCATGCCCTGAATATCTGCACGCTCCATGCAGATCCCCTCTCTGCACCCCTACATCTATGATACAAAACTCTCAGATTGTGTTCTATTAGGTGTCCAACCCTTCACAAATTCCCCTTTCAGAATCTCTCACCAACCAGAGACCGATTCCGGTGCTTTTGTCCTCTCCCTGCTTCTGGAGGTGTGTGCCGGAGCACCGAACATCATGGGCTTGGGCTGGTGCTCACAGACATCAGGAAAACACATGCTTCTTTTTTGGTTGCTAGGAAACAGTGACTGAATGAAAATCATTTGGTTTTACCCAGCCTCCTACCCTCTGCCAGCCTGCAGGGGAAAGAATGTCATATTTAGGACCGGGTTGTGATCCTGACCTGGAGTTCACGTATCTTTTTACCTGAGTAGGCTTTGGTTTCCCCCCTAAATGATTAATTGGAAAGCTGAGAGGATGCAAGAAGTCCTCCCCCAGGGTTTTTTATAGCACTTGGCTGCAGATTCGGGAGTCGTCTGACTGAGCAGGGATTGCTGGAGAAGCCGGGGAACCTGTGGCCCCTCTCACACTTAGGGTGCCTGGAAGCACTTTGGATGATTCCACCTACAGACACAGAGTGGTGGGAGTCCTGAAGGATCACTGTTGGTACAAGGGATCATCACCGGGACGCTTGAGTGACTCAGCACTTGAGCATCTACCTTCAGCCCAGGGCGTGATCCTGGAGTTCCAGGATTGAGTCCCACATCAGGCTCCCAGTATGGAGCCTGCTTTTCCCTCTGCCTGTGACTCTGCCTCTCATGAATAAATAAATAAAACTTAAAATCACCATTTCCCCCCTGCTAAGTGGTCTCCGTACTCACACACTTGCCTCCTCATCCTGAGTACTTCCCTGCTTACAGCTGGCTCACGGTTCCCCACTGTCTTAGAGACCAGAGCTCGCTGTGGCCTGTACGTGCATCTCCTCCACACCTGTGGGCAGAGCAGAGTTTATTCTGGTCCATGTGCGCCTGGGTGTCAGTATCACTTCCACTCCTCTCCACTGACCAAGGCTCTCGGTTACCTGGTATCTCAAGTGTTCGAGGAGTGACAGTAAAAACTCTAGATTTGGATTTTTATAGCCTGGTTGTTCACTCCACCTTGAATTGATAGGATACCCAGATGTTTCCAGGCTTTGTGACCCTAAAGTTTATATCATTTGAATTTGATGCAGTCTAAGAAAAAAAATGCAAAAATGTGAATACAAAATTAAATGTTTTTTAGAACCATTAATCACAAAGAGCTGACAAATGCCACCCTATCAAAAGCATGAAAACAAATCATGGTATTATCTTTATTATTAACTGAAATAACCTAAAATTATATTCTCTTCCATAATTTTTGATAACTTCTTAATATGACCAAGATTTTGTGATATTACTTATGGAGAGACTAGAAAGATAAGTCAGTCTTTCCTCTAGTGTGGTTGTTAACAATTATTTTTAGTTACGAATGAAATATTAGAATAAACTAAAAGTTGTTTTTCAGCTTACTGGCTCACTGTTAGTGATGCCTACTTTATAGTGTCACCACAATTTCCTGCTCCCCAAGATGCTCCTTGCCCAAGGGCAACCCAGGAGAACTTTAGCCTTGATCTTGCTCAGCCTGTTCACCTTTGCCTCCCTTCTCTGTCTCCCTCCCACCCCAGCTGAAATGCTGCAGCTGGTCCAACTCAGCCAAGACATTAACTCCAGTGTTCTCCTCCCCAACTTCAATCCCTGGAGACCCAGAGAGAGTTCAGGTCCTAAATGGACCAACGGAGGCTGCTGGATGTAATGCCAACAGTATATCTGCCCTATCCCAATGCCAGGGCAGCCACCCGGGCATGGAGGATGATGCCCAGGCTGCCTTTTCCTTCTTCCCCCAGTGAGAACACATCTAGCTTTTGAAGAACCCAAGAAAGTGATGACCCCTTTACCTTGGCTGCTTTGGCTTTGGGAGGAACCTACCGCTTCTTATACTTCTTATTGCCAAGACGTTAAATCAAAACAAAACAATACAACATCCAAAAGCACTTTTATACCACAGCTAGAAATTGTCAGTTCTCACAGCATATCCTGGAGGCAGATATGCAAATAATATCCATGTTTTTTTTTTTTTTTTTTTTTTTATTTTATGATAATCACACACAGAGAGAGAAAGAGGCAGAGACATAGGCAGAGGGAGAAGCAGGCTCCATGCACCGGGAGCCCGACGTGGGATTCGATCTGGGGTCTCCAGAATCGTGCCCTGGGCCAAAGGCAGGCGCCAAACCGCTGCGCCACCCAGGGATCCCATATCCATGTTTTATACATAAGGAAGCCAAGGGAATAAAAGGAGGTAATTTGCCAGAGAAAAAAATCCACTTTATCAGGTCTGACTCCCCAGACAATGCATCTTTGCCAGACTTCTTTTTTTTTCTTAGTAGGCACCATGCCCAACATGGAGCACAATATAAGGCCTGAACCTACAATCCCGAGATCAAGACCTGAGCTGAGATTAAGAGTTGGACGCTCAACTGACTGAGTTACCCAGGTACCCCCCTTTACAAGACTTTCTGGTGTATTCTTTAAACTTAATAAGATGTTTATAATATTCAAGATATCTGTATATAACATACTGACTTGAAACTGCAGAACATTTCCACAGAATGTAGATATGAATTTTTCATCTTCATCAAAACTTATGTTTAAATTACTGAAAAGTAACACTACTACATAGTAAGACAATGAGGTGACAACTGTGTGATTTTGGTCAAGTTACTCAATTTCTGCACTTTATTTCCCTCTTCTGTAAAGTGTGATGAAAATCTATATATAAAAAATCTATCTCATAGGCTTCCAAACATTAGATATGATATATATATATATATATATATATATATATATATATATATATATATATAAAATCTTTGGCCTGGAGCATCATAGTCTTTTACAGAATAGTTGTTATTACCAGTACAGTTTTTGCATCTTATTCAATTTTATTTATCATCCTTCCTTCTTTAAAAGTGTTATCTGTGGGTTTATATTGAATCTCTTTATTTCTATGGTAAGCTTCTTAAATGTAAACATTATGTTTTCTATCTTTGCGTTCCTCAAACAAGATGCATAATAATACATTGCAGGTATCATGCATTCACTAAAAATTATCTGACATGGGGAGATTTTTTATGTGCTAAATGTAATGTGGACTCTGAACACATTTAGCAGATCAAATCTCTGCTCTCATTTGTAGGCATGCTCTTGCCCTTAATGGTTGAACAATGGGGGGAAGATGGTGTTGGCAGGGGTTGACCAGATGGCAGTGTTTTTAGCATTTGCATTTGGTAGGGGGAAAAGCCTTTGTGTGTATATAAATAGTATATGGTAAGCCAGCCTATGTGAGCACAGGACTTTTATATGAAAAAAAGAGATGAGATTTAGTAATCTTCCCTGTGAACATAAGAGACTGACTTTATTCCCCTTAGGATTTAGACATGTCTGAGCATATCTGAGCAAGTCAGGAAGATCATGGGTTACAGAGTTGTACCAAGATTCCGTTTGCATCAGCGGTTCTCAACATCAGCTGTACTTTAGAATCACCAAGGAGCTTTTAAAACTCCCCAGATCAATTAACTCAGAATCTCTGGGGGTAAGGACTCAGGCATCCATATTCTTCAAATTTCTCCAGGGATTCCAGAGGCTGACATGTGAAGCTGGAGGAATAGTCAAGGTAATGCTCTGTTATTGCAGTTATACTAACTTTTAGTTTGAGGGAAAGTAATCTCCACTTCCCCAAAGAGGCATGAGGCAGAGATGTTCCACTTTTCCCCTTTGGCCAAGGTCACACTAAATATGATGCCCAGCACTATGACAGTCAACTTCTTGCCAGTCTGAAGCTACCAAGTGGATGAAGGTGGAGCCAAAGAACTTCAATTATATGTTTTTATTTCTTAAGGTTCTTATTTTTAAAATGATTCTTATTTTTAAAGCCAGCTATAGTTAGAGATTAAGAGTAATTTTAGCAGAAGACATCCTAAGTGATACACTTTCCTAAATCCAGCCCCTAATGCCAGGATCCTCAATGGAAGGGACTGCACTGGAAGAGTGAATGAAAATAATAAGCATATATGTATATATGTATATATATATGCTTAGATTTAGATTTTATTTATTTATTCATGAAAGACACACACACACACACACACACACACACACACAGAGGCAGAGACAGGCAGAGGGAGAAGCAGGCTTCCCATAGGGAGCCTGATATGGGACTGAGTCCCAGGACTCCAGGATCACGTCCTGAGCCAAAAGCAGATGCTCAACCACTGAGCCACCCGGGCGTCCCAAAAAGCATATTTCCTCTGTGATCACCATGGGACATTGGGAGCACCGGTTGACATCAACGATGATATCATAGCTTCTACCACAATGGGAGCAATAGCAGCAGCCATGACGGCAAAACTGGAGGTGGCCTTAATTTCAGACATCAGCGCTTGGCCATTAGACATCAGTAGCTTTGATGCAGATGTTTGTAGGGATGGAACTTTTCTTCTATCCTTTTAAGTTATATGCCTGAGGCCTGTGATTTAAACTGACAGACAGATTAACAGGAGAAAAGGCATAGCAATGTTTATTGATGTTAATATTGTTATGTGCATGGAGGCTTCACAGGAAAGTGAAAACTCAGAATGATTAGGCTCAGGGCCTTATTTTCAACAAAGAGCAATAAATTGTGAAGAAGTGACCAAAGGAAAGCATGTTTGGGCTTCCAGGGATAATAAATTGTGGGAAAGTGAGTAGGAAATATAGGGGGGAAAATAATTGTGAATAATGATTATTTAGTAAGGTTTGTTTGTGTAGATGCATCTTGGTGTTATCTCTGAGAAGAAGAACACCTTCAAAAGAGAAATTTATGCCCTGCTTTTAGGCAGATGGAGGGGAGTGAGTTCTTCCTGTATCTGATTTATTTCAATTGCCTTCAAATCAAAATAAACCTTATGCTAAAGTGGTAGATTTTGGGGGTGCTGTATTCTGATTCCTTTCACCTTAACAGTCACTTTTGAGCATAGCAGTGATATTCTTTGGTGGGCACCAGCTGCCATCTTTCCTTGGGGCAGTGCTGCCATTTTAGATTTAGCAACGAAGGACATTATGTAGGACATTTGACTGCATGTAACAGAAACAATCTTTACTGACTTTAAACACATATCTTATTTTTTAGATCACCATGGATCCATATCTTTTTCTCCTCTCTCAGCTTGTGAATTTCATATTTATTATATTACATTATGATTCAAATATTTTTGGTATTAAATTTCAACATTTAAAATATACTACTCTTTTTAAAAACCTATTTTGACATTTTTCTTATTGTACTGCAAGCCTCCAAAGATGTTCTACTCTGTGACTGCCCTCATGAAGGATGAAACCCATTAGGACAAGGACCCTGCCTTCAAGAAACAGTGAAGAAGTGATAGGTAATATTGTCATCTTAATTTGTTTCCAAGCCATGTTTTGGAAGCATGGTAGGGGTTGAGCTTATTAAGAGCTCCTATTTCTCAACAAACTTAAGGAAACAAATTATTCTGAAATACTGCTTTTGCAATAGTCTTTCTTTTCTTTTTTTTTTTCAGTCTTTCTTAAAACAACAAAAAACTTAGAAATTAATCTACTAATCTGGTAAGAAGGAATAGATGATCATGCTTTCTTATCTAAGAACACGTTTTACTTTAAAAATAAAAGTAGAATCCTACTTTCAAGAACTTGGTGTAAGCATTGGGGGGAAAAAAGTCAACCCATTATGGTAAACTGAACCATTTCCCACCTTCCTTAGATATTTGTAACATTAAACAAGAGGATTTGTACAACTTCCCCCAAATAAAATCAGAAAATAATACAGAAGCTGCTTCTATCAAAAAGCACATCTCACCTCTTCCTCTCTTCTGTCCCTTGATCCTTATATTTCTGCAGTAGTTGGGCATCACTGATCTCGTGCATAGTTGGAGACAGAGCCCTGCAAATGGAGCACGCTTCCTCCATTGACTCCATGGAAGTTAATGAAATTCATCTCAGAGTCATGGAGTCAGAGAGAAGACCTTTTGATTTTCTTTCTTACCTCAGACCCCCAGTTACCTGCCAGTTCCCTCTCCCCTTCCTGCTCAGGACCTCATTTTTAACTGTCAGAGATTTCAGAAATGTGGTAGGACTTCTGGGGTGGACTTGGTTTTTAAACATAACCTGGGTTTCCTCAGCCCCGTCAGGCTGGGGCAGAGATTGTAATAGACCTTCAGTTGTAATAATGAACAGTTTTAATAGACTGGATCTTTACCAGAGTTGAGGAAACCCCAGTTTCTCACAAATCCATCCCCCAAAGCTCAGAAAGTCCCATGGGGTTCTCCTGGCACTCTTGTGGAGTTTTATTCAGCCACTTCTGTAGTCGGTCTCCTGCTTCTCCAGTCACTGCCAACATTTTAACCTTCACCTCCCTCAATCTGTGTGGCTTGAGACTCAAGTCACTCTCAGCTTCTTAGGATTGAATCGTAATGTCAACTGCCTTCTGTGGGTCAGACTCATCCTGCAGTCACTTCTCTCAGGCATGGAGAAACCACCCCACACATGCCGGGGTTCATTCCTCCTCACGGCTTATCATGCATTACTGTCTGATGCTCTTGGTGACTCAGACTGTGATGATTTTGATTTTGTTGGTTAATTGGTGTTTTCAATAGTCTTCTGTAAGACTTTGTTATAAATTCCTGTGTTTGAGAGCAATCTGAGAACCCCCTGGGATTATGTGTGTATACACTTACAAATGACCCCTCTTCTTCTTTTAGATGGTTCTGCAGAATCCTTGAACTAAGCTTGAGTATTTTTACTTGATCCATCATATGAATTCCTGCTGTGAATGTCTTGCATTCGTGAAACAATTAGATCCCAGGATCCTGGGCAAATATGCTCAGGAAATCCTAGGTTTGTGTGAATTTGCCACAGGTCCACAATTTAGATGGTCTCTGAGATCCTGTTTTTATAAAGAAGGTCTATATAGGGAGGTAAATAAAATTTGAGGAGGATAGTCAAAGTGGTTAACTCAATTATTTTTAAAAAACTTTTTACTTAAATTCAGTTGGTTCACATATAGTGTATTATTAGTTTCAGGGGTAGAATTTAGTGATTCATCAGTTGCATATAACACCCCATGCTCATTCCATCACGTCCCATCACCCAGTTACACTGTCCCTCCACCTACCTCCCCTGCAACAATCCTGTTTGTTCCCTAGAGGTGAGAGTCTTTTATGGTTTGACTTCCTCTCTGTTTTTATCTTATTTTATTTTCCTTCCCTTCTCCTATGTTCATTTGTTTTGTTTTTTAAATTCCACATATGAGTGAAATCATATGGTATTTATCTTTCTCTGATTGATTTATTTCACTTAGCATAATACCCTCTAGTTCCATCCACATTGTTGCAAATGGCAAGATTTCATTCTTTATGATGGATGAGTAATATTCCATATATATATATGTATGTGTGTGTATATATGTATATATATATATATATATATATATATATATATATATATACATAACATATCTTTATCCATTCATTTGTGATAGACATTTGGGCTCTTTCCATATTTTGGCTATTATGGACACTGGGGCACATGTGCTATAAATATTGGGGTGCATGTGCCCCTTCAAATCAGTATTTTTTTATCCTTTGGATAAATACCTAGTAGTACAATTAGGGTACTCTATTGTAGCTCTATTTTTAACTTCTTTTTTTTTAAATTTTTATTTATTTATGATAGTTACACACACACAGAGAGAGAGGCAGAGACAGAGGGAGAAGCAGGCTCCATGCACTGGGAGCCCGACGTGGGATTCGATCCCGGGTCTCCAGGATCACGCCCTGGGCCAAACAGCAGGCACTAAACCGCTGCGCCACCCAGGGATCCCTATTTTTAACCTCTTAAGGAAACTCCATGCTGTTTTCCAGAGTGGTTGCACCAGTTAACTTAATTATGCTTACATTTCTTTTTAAAAGCAGTTAGTTAAAATGATTCAAGCAATGCTCAAATACACTCTTGCTAAAAGCTCTAATGGTATGGAGGAATACTGAGTCACATGTTACAGGCTCCCTCCATTTCCCGAGTGGTTTTTTTCTCTAGTTGTAAGCTCTCTGAACATTTCAGTATGTGTCACTGAGGACATTATCCTGTCTTTACATACATAGGTAAATATAGAAATAGTGGTGGCATTTGTTTCTTTTAGCGCAATGGGATTATAGTGATACTTTATGTAGTTTCCCTGACCTGTTAAACACCCCTTAGAAAGCTCTCCTTACTGGGATGCATAAATCTACCTCATTACTTTTAACTGCTGTGGGTGTCCCATAATTTTACATCATAATATATTCAACTGTTCCTTTAAAAAGAGACATTTAGGTTGTTTCTAATTGTTTGCTACAGTAAGCAATTCTGCAGCAGCATTTTTACCTAAATAAAAATATATTTAAATTTGTGAATACATGTGTCCTTAAGATAGATTGTTTGCAGTGAATTTGCCAAATCCAGGGATAAGTACATTTTAATATTGACAGAAATCATTAGAATGGCTATCTCCATTTCCCCTTCCTCTGACACCTAATGTAGAGTCTGACTATCAGATGATTCTTTGGGTGCACTTGGAAGATCACCAGGATTTTGCATGAACAGCCAAGCAGCGATTTTGGCAAATATTTCAGAGTACTTTGGACTCTTGGGCTATTGAAAGCAGTCTTTCAGCTTCTCAGTTGCAGATTCTGATCCAGAAGGAGAAGAAACAAGCTTTGTGCACTTGTGGTTTCTGAGGGAAGCATTTCCTTTCATGTGTGTGAGGTTTCTTTCATAATGCCATGTTTGATTAATAATACTTGCCAGGCATGCTTTCTAGCCTCAGCGGTAGTCTGTGTTCTGCCCATATTGTGGTTACAGCAGTTAGTAGGTCAGGTGTAAATATCTGACCTGGACTGTTAGGGGGAAAAGCCTTTCCCTCCTCGTTAAAGATGCAGGCAGGGGAAACTGAAGCCATTTTTTTTTTATCTTAAAAAATCATTCCCTTTAGCTTTCCCAGAACCTAGGTAGGAGGAGAGACCTGACCAACTCCTAGTTTACCTCCAGTGAGTAGTGTGTTTGAGGAATAAGCTGGTATTCTGCGACTGCTAAGTCCCTCTAAGTCTGCTGTCCTCTCTTGTCCCTGGAATAACCCCACTCTCAACTCCGCAGGACCTGCCATCTTTCCTGAGTTGGGGAATTAAAATGTCATAGTCTTTATGACACTCGATGGCACTTTATAACAATGCATTTTCCATAGTGGGGAAAAAGCTGTAGAAAATGAACTTGCAAAGTGGAGTGGTAATGAGGAGGGAGGGGATGGGTATAAAAATATGTGGAGTTTAGAGACATATTAGACTCAGAA